AGCCATCATGGTCATATACTTTCTCTTCCCCCTTTAGGAATATCTATTGTAAGTTTGTCAGGTGGCATTACTGAATGCTATGTGATACCCTTCCCCAGTGCCATCCCTCCCACCCCACCCACTGGATCTTAAGGTACCGTTGACCAATTTCTGCGCTTGAATTAGTAACAACTTGGTTGTTTGGGGGTTTCTTTGGGGCTTTTTGGGGGTAAGCAATCTCACGCTTTAGGATTCTTGTGCAGGTTGGTTTTGGTTAATGTGCATGTTTTTGACATTCCGGAAAAGTGTTCCTTATTTGTTGCTTTGAAGTGAAATAATTCAGGTTTGCTTCCAGTCAAGACCACTGCCAAAGGAAACTGAACCCTCTCTGTCCCAGAGGGCGCTTTCATTCTCTATCAATTGTCATTGCAGGAAAAACGAATGGGGTTATGCCAGAAGCAATCTGGCAGAGTTTTCCTTCTTTATATAAAAGAAAGAGGCCTGGGAGTCTGTCTTATCACTTAAGAACATCGTTTTGCACTCTAAAGAAAAAGTCAGTGTCTGTCTAAAACATGTCACCTGGAGAGTCCACTAACAACAAGAGTCTGTTTTCTATAAGTGAGCTGGTTGGAAAAGTGAGGGGAAAGAACACTAATGAGCTTCTATTTTTGAGCACTTTTTCACCCCAATAAAATGCAGTATCATTAAGACTTGCATTATGTTGCCATGCTCATTAGTAAAGCCGTGAAATTTACTTTTAAGTAAAAATCAAAGGCTTTAGTAACCAAAGCAACTGCTTTGTCTTCCTGCTAATATCAGAAAAATCAGATAAAAGTTTCGACAATTAAATTGGTATATTTCATATTTTATGCTAAAGGTGACTCAGATTACATTTAAAGTAATCTTAGTTAGTATAGGTAGGGTGCTTTTAGGGTAGGGAGGAGGGTGAGGAAAGAGAGGAAGAAGTGCAGTTCAGAGCTGTTAAACTAGCTACATCAATTATCTGCTTTAGGGAAATATTCACACCATATATGCTCTTCCATGTTCAGAAGCTTTTGGTGGGTTTAGGTAATACATGGAGGGGCTCCATGCAATTGTTTATTGCAAAATCACTTCAGAACTGGAGCTTTAATTATGAGGGCCGATTAAGTAAATTCATGACAAAGGAAATCAAGGTTAGAATAGTAAAGCTGGGGTGGGATTTTTCATGGTCACACTGGAAAAATACATCTTGAATCATAAGTAAAAATTTTACTTATAAGAATTTAATGTTTTGGCAATATGATTGTTTTGCTCAGTGTTTTTGATGTAATCTTTAAATCAGTTGTCCTGCAGGGCAAGGTTACCTTCTAACTTGTTCTACTTTCAGTGTTAATTTCCGGTTTATTAATATATAAGATGGTCCTTTTTAGTGAACATTGCTTTTGGAAAGGTTCTCAGAAGTTTGAGATGACAGAGGAAGAGCAATGCACCGGTTTTTATGCTGAACTGTATCTGCTCACTGCACGAACCCTTGCTAGATGGAAATCTTGAAAGACTGCGCTGCAGAAATACCGTCTCACCTAACCCCTGTGCCGTAACGGCCTTCCGGTGCTTGTGAGACCGTGCTTTGGCACAGGCTTTGGTGACCATCTTGAGGAGCACAGGAAGGAATCTCCAAGGTGCTGGGATATCTGTGTAACCTGGATGTGAGGAGTGAGGTACGGATGCCGGGCCCCGGCCGGGGCTGATAAGCCCTGCAGGCCACGTGGCGGTTTTGGCTCCGCGATGCCCATGCAGGCGCTGCCTTATTGGTACAGTCGGGTCCGTCAGCTCAAGCTCCGTGGGAAAATAACACTCTTGTTTCCTAACTTGTGGAGCCCTGCCGGAGCCTCGGCACCTTCGCGTGGAGCAGGGCTCGGCCGCGGGCGCGCGGCGCTAGCGGCTGCCAGGAAATCCCTCTTCAGCGCCTGCGGTCCGGGCCGGCCGGGCGCATCAGCTCGCGGAAATGGTGCGTGTAGGAGTGAAGAGGTGATGCGTGCCCAGCGCTTACATTAATTCTAGCTGGGTAAAGCTGGCGTGCTATTAAGCACTCAGGATTGTTCAAGCTCTTTTAAGTATATTGGTGTAAGTTTTTGCACGTCATTGCAGCCATTTTGTAATAAGCCAATCTTACAGTTGAGAAACTGTAAGAATTTAATAACCAGTACAATGCCCTTTCAATTATGGCTGCATGATTCAGCTAAGGAAAGATGGAGAAAGAAGTGTTTTCTGTCATTGAAATGTAATTTTAGAAAATAAACACACTTTACAGCCCACATTTAGAAAATAAATACAGTCTTTCCATAAGGGAAGAAGCCTGCCTTGGTAGAAAATATTATTGTATCAAATATTTGTAGAACTCTCTATGAAAAGAAAATGACGTAAACTGTTGCTTGACTTATCCCTAGGAGCACACACATTGAAAACGTTTATTTTTGCCAAATAGAACAGTATTATGTTTGCTCCTTTTGACACCAGCAATTAGCAGTCATATCTGGTATATGTCATCTTTTTCTGATCTAGGAATCTAGTGACTCTACCTTGTTAGTACAAGGGAATATTAAACTATTTTGGTTGCTCGGGCTTACATAGATAAATCATCTGTGACAGTTGATTTAAAATTCACTTTGAGGAAGAAATGTGCATGTTGGAACTTTTTTTACTTAGTGAATAACTTTGACTTAAAAGCTGATGTGGTCCCTGCAGCTTATTAAAATGAGGACTTAATAAAATTCCTTGATTACTCAGCTTACTCCTATTATTTGATCTAAAACATTAAATACATGATTCATAAGAAAAGCGATTTGATTTTCCATTAAGTGAAATAAAAAAACTGGAAATAAGTGAGAATGTGGAAACTTTTTTTAAGCATGACCTCTTTTGAAACTTGTTTCATAGAATTTTATTCTCAAACAAATGTAAACATTTATAGTATTTATAGTTACTTTCTCCTACCTAGGGCCAAGCATCATATTTTTATACAACGGGAAAAAGCGGACCTTAAAAATCTGGGGAAGACAGCAGTAGTTCTCCACAAAAATGTTTAGCAGTGACAGCTAACACAAACTGATGTCAGCTAGCAGCAGCAGCGCATAGATGCTTTATTTAGACTTTTTTTTTTTTTTAGCCCTTGCAGTCATGAATAGTGAGATGAGAGGGTTGTTTTCTAGTTGCTTAGGCTTCCCACTCGAGAAAAATGCAGATTCTTCATTTGTATTTGGACTTGTGGCTGATCTGGCTTGGAACAGGAAAAAGGAGTAGGGAAAGATTTCAAAATTAGAGTTTTCATTATTGTTTCATTCATCACTGGCTCTATAGCATAGATGTCTCAAATCATACCACTGTGAGGAGCTAACTACATCATTTCTATGCATTTGTAACTTTATTAAATGTCACACAGCTCCTGTGGAACTTGTTTCGGCCAGAATCACTAGGTTTTCCTTTCTGCATGTACCACCAGTAACACTCAGTTCCACGTAGTGCAGAAACTCATGAGTAGTAGCTTCTTGGTGTGTTGACTTGATCTCCTAAAGCTTCTTTGCAATTCTACGAAGGTTGTTTACAGAGCAGAAGTAAGATGTGCTCTCATTTTAGAAGATAATTTGTGTGCAGTACAAATTTTAAGTTATCTTGTCTCTGTGGTCCTTAAAAAATTCCTTATGTTCTGCCATCGTCCATATAAGCCAAAGATGCATGCAGCAACTCCGCTTTGCTTACAGAGAAGATAGGGAAAGAAAAATGTTCTTAAAAGTTCAAGTAGGAAAAGATCATCTTCAGTACGCTGTTAAAATGAAATCAGGTACTTCTTAGAAAATCCCTAAATGCTCTGCATGAAGATTCCAGAAAAGGGCTCTTTTTCCCTGATGTATCATTAACTTTTCTGCTTGGCGCACGTGTCCCCTGCTGTACTGTGGAAGGAAGGGTTTTGTGGTGTTTCGTCAGCACCCCCTGCGCCCTCCTGGCTCCAGCTCGAGTGCCAAGGTGAGGGTGGAAGAAACTTGGCCGTGGCGCGAGCGCGATCCCAACGCACCCAGTGTTTTTGGTTACCGCAGGGGCCGGGGCCCAGCGCGGCCTCGAGCTGAGGGCAGCCTTACCGGGACAGGGCTCCGAGTCGGAGCCCGGGAGAGCGTGGGGTGGGAGAGGTCACAAAGGACCTGTTGCCGTGTAGGGGGGTCGGAAACACGGCAGCGTAAAGTGCTGGGTGCTGGCGGCAAGGGGGACACGGGTCAGCAAAACCAGAATTTTGACAGACCGTGGGGAGGGCAGGAGGGATGCGTGGAGGCTGAGCTTGTGTGGCTCCAGCTCTGCCCCAGGTCGTTTTGGGTGGAAAAAAAAAAAAGAGTTCAGAACACAGCGTGGGACCTCTCGTGTCTTTCCCCAGCGGCGGGAAGGGCTTCCCGCCGTCATCCCCAAGCGGGACGACGCCGCGGAAGAGCGCGGGGCCCGTTTCCACGGGATCCCGGCGGCTGCAGGGGAAGCCCCCGCGGGTGGGGTGGGGTGGGTGGGTGCGGGAGTGTTCCCGGGGCCGGGGGAGGCGGCGGCAGGTGGCGGGGGCCGGGGCCGGAGGTGGCCCGGCCCTGAAAGGTGCGATTGTCCCCAGCTATTCCTGGTATGCGGCGGGGCGGCAGCCGCCGGGGGCCGGGGCTCCCGCGGGCGGGACGGAGCCGCCGCCGGAGGTGGGGGGGGACGGGACGGGACGGGACGTGGGGCGGGGGTACAGCCCCTCCCGGGTGCCCCCGGGAGGAAGGGGGAGGTGTGTGTGTGGGGGGGGGGGGGGGGGTGGCGTCCTTACAGCGTTGCCTTACAGCCGGCGGCTCCTTCCCATTCTTGCGGTCGCTGAGCGGCAGCGAGCTCCCGGGAGGGGGGAGGAGGCGGAGGGGGAGGAGACGGCGCGGGGGAGCGTTAAAAGGCGGCAGCTGAATGACAGCGGCTGCTCCCCGCGCCCCCACCCCTCCGGAGAGCCGGCTGTTCGCCGCCCTATTACCCCCCCACCCCCCCCCGACACACACTTCCCACCCGGTTCTTCCCCCCCCCCCCCCCCCCCCCAACACACACCCCCTCGCTCCGCCGGCCATGGAGGGGAGAGAGGACGCGGAGTGCGAGTGCCAGGCGGCGTTCGCCGAAGCTCGGCGATGGGTCGAGGTGAGGCCGTCTCTCGGTCCCTTTTTTTTTTTTTTTTTTTTAGACACCCACCCTATCCCCACCCCGCGGGGAGGCCGGGCCGCCCGTCCCCTTCCCCCCCCCCCCCCCGCGACTCCGGGGTCTCGCTGCGCCCCCCACTCGGCCGGGGCGGGAGGGCGCTGGCGTGGGGCTGCCCCCGCTCCTGGGACGCGGCTCCCAAACTTTGTTTCTTTGTCAGCAAGCTGCGAGCTGCTGTTTTTAAGAAGGTATCGTGAAAGCTCGCGGAGATCTGCCTGTCTTTGCAGTATCGCCAACGCCCCCCTCCCCAAAAATCCAAATTAAAGGCTGGTATAGCTACCTTCCTGTCATTAAGGCTTCTAATTTCTTTCAAATTACTTCTCTAGCTCTTGCTCTGAGACAGTCCGAATTAAAGGCACTCTTCTTCTTCCTGTCCCGAAAGAGTTCGGGACAGAGAGTAACCTGAAATTACAGTAATTTTCTCCTTTCCTATTTTAAGCATGAGTGCCTGACTGCACATAGCACTTGGTGTAAATATCTGTGTTTCTGCATCGTTACCCAAGATCACGCTGGTGCAGTGTATGCTAATGCAAGGGGAAGGAGGTTGCTCGGAGGTGTACCTGAGTGTGTACGTGTGTAGGGTAGCGTGCGGCTGGGCAAGCGTGGCTGATGGTGTGGAAGTTGTTTTCAGAAATGTTAGAAATACCGAATAGCCTCACTTAGTGTGCTTTTAAAGGGGGCTTTAGCATGCTGGTTTATATGTATTTTAACATATAAAGCTTTTTTTTTTTTTTTTCTGTGCACCCATTCACTTGAGAGGAAACTTCTGTTGTCAGAAACGCTGTCCCAGTAACTTTAAAAAGAGTAATTATCCAAAGAAGAGTGTTCGTTACTTTTTACCCCCCATCTTTGTAAGCCTGTCAAGACCTGAGTCCAGGCTTCTTTGTTTCCTCTGTAAAACGATGACATCTAGTGCTTAAAATCTATTGAGAATTTTGAACTAAGAGCACAGTAGGCAAGGGTATCACAAATGACTCCCACAAGTGTCAGTTTTGTAAGTGCCGTCCGTGAATGTAGGTAATTAAAGCAGTCCTGGCTTCCCCAAGTGTCAGTTTTGTAAGAGCTAGCTGTGAGTTTAGGTAATTAAAGCATTCCTCTCTCACGTATACATTTCTTGTATTGCTTTCTTTAAATTGGCAAAGCTTTAAATAGTTTCATTAAGGTGATGTAATGTCGTCTTTGAAAACCCTCGGTTTAAGGGTTTGGGGATTTGTTTTAATTATTATTAGTTTTCATTTGATACTGGCTGCTTGTACCATTCCTACAAAAGGTTCCCTCTTTGCCTGCCAGTAGCACATGGGAGCACTAGCAAAGCCATGGAAGTGTAAAGCTTGCACTGTTTGTGTAGTGGAAAACCAGTATGTTCTGCTTGCCTCCCTTCCCCATCTAATTTGTGTGGCTATACTTTGTTTCTGTTACATGAAAGCTGTTCTCATTTAAAGTAACTTTTAAACTTACCCCTTGGAGAAACGTTTTATTGTAAATGGGTTAACTTAGAAACATGGTGCTTCTACTCTTGAAATCCAGATGGCTTAAAAAGCCAAAACCAACCACTGCTGTTGTTGTATGAGAAAAGATTTTTTTGGAGTAATGAGACGTGTCCCAAGGATTTGCGGGTCTTGGGGAAACGTAGTGGTGTGTACATGATTGAGAGTGAATATTTGGTGAGTCCTAATGATTAAGCAATTAGTTTTGAAGATGAGGCAGATTTCCAAATATTTATGAACTTGAATTTCTTATGTTTTCGTAAGGTTTTGTAAGCCAGCTTCCCCCCTAACATTAGAGGAAGATGAAAGTATACAAACACCAGCTACTATATATTTAAAAGAACAAGTAAAAATCTCTTTGTAAACTGTTACTATTTCCCCTTGCTGGTGAAATCTGTGTTAACATATTTCTGTATTTCAATACAGAGCTTTTTAGGCTCTGAAATTTTTTTTAAAAAAAAAAAAAAAAAAACAACCTCAGAAGACCTGAGCTCAAACATTGAAGCTGAAGGCTTTCTGTAAGAGGAAATGAGCAGCTGTATTTGTCAGATCTCGGGGGGTGGAAAAAACCACCCCAAAACATGAAAATTTTTCACCCTATCTGTTCTTGAAGCTTTTGGTGAGAGAAAATTGTGTCCTGGTCAGGTCCTACTTCTGCCTATTCCCAGCTAGAGAATCTACGTTGTACGGCAGCTGGTGGGAGCTCAAACATTTGATCCTAGTTCTTACACTACACAAAAAAAACCCAACCCCAAAACCCCAACCAGTTGATTAAGAGTAATAACAACAAAAAAAATGCATCTGATATCTGTTGTTAGTTAATGAAAGACTTTGTTCTTTAATTCAGATGCATGTTGAGGCGTAGTTTGTGATAATGCAGACAAGGCAGATCTTTAGTCTTTACCGTACACAGAGCTCTTCAGGTGTAGTCCCCAACCTCTTGTGTCTTGTGTGTGGTGGTGAACTGGGAGGGAAGATAATGTTGCTTGTCTCGGTATCGGTTACCCTAGCTGGAGACAGTTAGTCACTCTCAGAGAGTTAGCTGTCAAGGACACCTACTTCTTTCGGGGAGAGAGTAGTGGTTTTCTGTGCAAAACTCAAGCTCTTCTCAGTTGTCACTGATCCAGAACCCAATGCTGGTTAGTGGTGGTGGCTTCTTGCATCTGGGATTTTTGGAGTCTCCTGAGCTTTGCCTGTAACAACTGGTGCTGCTCAAACTCACGTGCAGCTCAGCCTTTACTTGGCACCTCAGCTGGGCAGGTGGTGCGTGCTGAGACCAGAATAAAACACTGAAACACCACAACTTAGAAATAGTTTCTCCAAGGTAGAGGTGTGTTTGCCAAAGCTAGAAATAGCTGGGTTAAAATTGTTTTACAGCATTCTGTTCCATATTATAACTTAAGCAAGCCAAAAGCTGTTCCTCCAAACCAAAGCATTCTTCCCCCAGCTATTAAATATCCCAGACTGCCGAGTCTGTTTTCCTGCCTCAAGATGTGGGAGGGCAGTCTGCCTCTTCCTCTCCACAGTCCACCACAAAGTTCTTCCTTGTGAACAAAGAGATGTGGTCCCTCTCCCCCAAAACACTCTTCACCATTTTAGGAGCGATGTCCCTCTATGAGGAAAGAAGAGAGTGCCGTTTTCTTGTAAAAGGTCTCAGCTTTTGATTCATGTTCCGTGTCTTAAGTGAACCCTAATCTTCAGGTAAATGTCTGTGGTTTGAAATTGTTTGCTAAAGCAACTTGAAACCTGACCCATGAAGTCTGTAAATCTTTGGAGTGCCCTGAGGCAAATAACGCTTGAATTCCACCCCCCCACACACCCCCCAGTAGTTGAATGTACAGATCCCGTCTGAGTGAGGGTGGGCAGTGGACGTGTGCCTGAATGAATTGTTGGAGTGAAGCAGCAGAACTGTAGGAAAGCACGTGGAGCAACCTTGACAAATCCACTGAAGGGAAAAATAGGTGTTTGGCCAAGTGACTCCCAATATTGCAAGCTATTACAGGGCCTCTTAGGAGCTGAATTTCTTCCCCTAATAACCCATCTAAAGTTGTTAAAGTCAGATGTTCTGAGAGCTACGAATTTCATCTGATACTGTCACTGAGAGCATCAGTCTCAGAGTCACAAGCGGGACCCTGTAGTGCTGGGACTGTCCCTGGTGCAGGGACACTGCAGCAGAACAGAAGTCCTTTCTAGTGCTAACACTGCCCAGTGTTGGTGGGGAGAGGTGTTTCACCGGTAGGATTTCTGTAGCAAGATAAGGTTTTTGTTGTTTTCAACAGACAGCGTTAGAGGAAGAGAGCCCAGCATGTCTGGACGGCAGCTAAAGATACCTCTGCTGCTCATATCTGCCCTGGCCATTATGTAGGTAGTGGAATGGCCTGATTGATCTGAATGCTGTTGTGTGTGCTGACAGCTTCATTTATTAGTACATTACAGTGTTCTTTTTGGAGTCCAAAACTATCTGCCTTTGTGATTTAAAAGTGTCTGTTACATGTTGGATGTTGGAAAATTATTTGGGGGCTTTGGTTTTCGCCTTTTTTGGGGAAAAAACAGATATGTGTATACACACAGACGCACACACATACACACACCCTGCCTGCTCAGAAGATTCAAAAAGCAGATTCGCAGAGTAGCTTGGTAGAAAGAGTCAGCCTGAGGATAAAACTTGAGAGGCAGGACTACTAACCGAAATCTTTTGGTTTGGACCAACAGTACAGCAATCAAATCCAGTGAATGGTCTCTGACATGTGGTCACCAAATGTTTCTATTTGTTGAAACTGTTCGAAGTCTGCATTTCTACTGTATATTTTTATGGCTTCTGCAAATGCACCAAGAGGTCTAGCAGCAATGTTTTCCCTGTATTTGCATAGAGATCTTACCTCTGTGGTTATTTTCTTCTGTTTTTCCCCCAAGCATGAATCTAATGCATACAGTCTGGTATGGCAGATGGGAGGAATAACTATAGAGGTAGAAGACTCATTTTACTGTTCATATCCTCTTCTTGTAGGTACATTTATTTTAGTTGAACTAATCATTATGAAAAGGTTTTTCTCAGTTCTGGGTAAGGTATTCTCAGACAGTGTGTAGAGAGCCAGTTGATGTCCTGGATGGTGTCAGAATGAAAAATGTGTGAATGAGAAGGGAAAATCTATATATTGTGTTGCCTAAACCATGTCTAATACTGGGTAATTCTGTCAAGTCATAAAACCTGGGTGGGCTGGTTTCTGGAGAACTTCTTACAGCACGGCTGCCAAAGTCCTGGCTCACATCTACATAAGGGATGTATTTAACCCTCCTTTAGGTGGATGCATCAGTATTTCATTATTGTGTGTAGATTCTTGGCAGTGAGCCCTTGCATGGAGTAAATCTAAGTGTATCCAATTAATATATAAATATGAATTGATACATAAGTATACATGCTGTTAAGTAAATCCTGTGGGAATGTAGATCCTAGAA